ATGTTTCCTTATCATTTGGTAAGTGTTAGTATGCGTGTGATGAACTCCTAGACATTAAACAAGCTGATGTCTCCCACTGGGGGGAAAAAAAAAACAAAACACACACACACACACACACACTGAACTTGTGTAAAAATAAGAAAGATTAAAAAAAAAAAAAAAAAAAAACACAACACATACACAGCTTAATAAGGGAAGTTTATAAAATCAGCTGATACAAAGGCATTCCATGGTTTTTCTTTCAATCCAAAAGTATGCGAGTTTTAATTAATCAAATATGTTAACACATGTCGCCCCTTTCATGCGCTTCCTGCTGCAAAGACCAGTTATAGGTTGGGTGGTTGCCATTTGTTTGTACGGTTGGTGAATTGGTGAGGGAACGCACTGGATACCTTCATTGCTGTATTGCTGGGTGTCCAGTATGTCCCTGTACCCTTAGGAGGGGTGGGTATACCTGCCCTTAATCTATCATTTTGAGTGGAACACATATACAACAATGAATAGGAGTTAGGGCTGCAGTACACTGGGGTGCCATGACGTGGTCGCTGCAGCTTAGCCATATATTTGCAAATGTGAGCAAACTAAAACCCCTGGTTTTAACGTGAATTGTTAGTGCGGGTTAATTCGGTTTGTTGCAGGCTGGCTGGCAAGTGAGCTGGGAGGTTTTGTTTACAGCAAAGAGCACATGGAAGGGAGGTGCATCTCAAAAAGCAACAAAGGCCAGTTATAGGTTGGGTGGTTGCCACTTTGCACTGTTCATAACACAAGACCATACACTCTAAGAAATTAGGGAAATCCAGCACAAATATTGGCAGGTTGTGGGCATGTGCTTAGACTTCCTATAGGTTTCTGCAGGGTAATTCACACTCCAGAGCATACAAATTAACTACTGTCCTATAACCACTTGCTCAGAAAACTGAAATGTCGCCAAAATGGCAGCCTGTGGTGTAGGTTTATACATTTCTTTTGTATTTGTGTTCCATTTTCAGTCCTATTCTGACACTTCCAATGAACCTTACATTGTTTACAACATTACTAGCTCTTCTGGGGTTTGGTTTTACTTCTATCCTGGCATTCCGGCCAGTTGGAACTGCTGCAATGTAATTATATGATCTATGAACACTGCACAGCTGGATTGTCTGGGCTGTACAATCCTATCTCATCTCTCTGCATTAACGCTACGCCTCCCAGATGACCTTGCCCATAGAAACAAACTATCACCTGCAACAACAGCCAAGTCGTCCTCTACAACATAGGCTTAGTTTGAAATAAAGCTTTCCAAACCTCAGAAATCAATTCACCTAAAGAGGCCCAGACAGCGCTGGTCAAGACGTGAGGAAGACGTATTAAACCCTTCAATGCCAGGCATTAAATCTAGACAGCGATATGAAAATATTAGCAGCATTTCTCCTGGAGAGCAGATAGAGAAAAGAAAGAACAGGAATAAGAAAGTCATTTGACTGACTGATCTTTCAGCAGCGCTAATCCCAGCTTGTGTCATAGAAGCTCCCAGCACATTCAGTGTGATGAGCTGCAGTCGGCTCTGCAGCGACCAGATGACAGTCAGTGGTAACCTTACTTTCATCCACAGGACACGCTAATCTTAAAGCCATTCAAGAGTATTACCATCCTGATCATAGGCGCTTATATTATTGACATTTATGAAAGCTTCTTTATGCATCCATTTAACACATTCCTCTGGAATCATTTACAGCGAAAAGTCTTAAGTGCTGAACAAAATAAAATGAGACTAAATGTAAAAACCAGAACGTAGCATTTAGTTATGTGATTAAGTGGCACTCTGAATTTAAAGTGTTACTAAACCCAGGACCCTGCATTCACTATATCCGGTCTCCCACAGTACACACAACATGGAAGTGAAATTATGTTAGTAAATATAAACTGCTAAATACCTTTTTATTATCAGCAATTACAGCAGTCTTGTGACTTCTATCAGTGTCTAGCCAAGCACATGTTAAAGCCTGTAGGACGGGTTTTCATTCTGCACTAAAAGGATGCAGAACCCTTGACCTCTGGTTGGACAGTGCTGATTGGCCCTGTGCTGATCACATGCGCTCAAAAAAAAAAAAAAAAAACCCCTCTAGCAACACACCCCAAACTGAGCATGTGCAGATTGCCCCGAGGATCTGTTCTATCAGGAGATGAAATGGGGAACGTGGAAGGAGGGAGGGATCAGAGCAGACAGGATCAAACATCCTTTTTCCACAATGCAGAGAATTAACCCCTTAGGTTCCACAGTGTGAGTATAACACAGCATGCTTTTACTGCATATACAGACTGATTTTACTGTTGTGGGTTTAGCAACACTAGCTCTTCTATTGGATTGGATTACAAGGGCCAGTTTACACTGCCCATGACCCTGTCGCCGATTCTCTGGTTTTCCTTCCTGGGACCATTTTTGGCAGTCACTGCAGACCGAGAACATCCTACAAGAGCTGCAGTTTTGGAGATGCTTTAATGTCTAGCCTTAGCTCTTATCAGGAGATATGAGGGGGACACTGGAAGAAGGGGAGAACCAGAGAATTCAGGATCAAACAGTGTTTTGACACATGCAGAGGATTAATCCTTTAGGTTTCACAGCGAGTATGCTTTACTGCATATACAGACTGATTTTACTGTTGTGGGTATAGTAACACTTTAATGCAGGGCATTGTATCCAAGGTAAACCACTGTAATGTACCATGCTCAGATTGGTGCCTTATGGCTCCAGACATTTTATGCTAGACCTCTGCAGAGGGACCACTGTTCTCACATCCTTCTCCACAGCAAGCTGGCAAGGGACAATCTCTTCTACTCCGGCTGTGGTTACGGTCTAAACAAAAAAAACACACCTCTAAGACTTTGTACACCTTTTATTTGATGGGATGTACTTAGCCAGTTTAAGCTGAAGTCAGTTGGGCTTTGATCTTTCATTATTGCCATATCTTACTGTATATGAATAATCATCCTTTGCTTCTAGTAATCAGGTAAAGTCCTGACTGTACAGGTAGATTGAATGCCCATCCAAACCTGGCCAGTTAGAAATTTGTTGTTGAAAATATCAAAAATAAAGTGAGTCGGTTTTAGATATTTTTGTACAATTATATTAAACTAATCCTCAATATAAAATGTATATTGTACATAAGGACAACTAGCTTCAGGCATCCATAACCGTTACCAACAAGGTGGTCTTAAAGCGGAGCTCCACTCAAAAGCGGAAGTTCGGCTTTAAAACACTGGTTCCCCTCCCCATTAAGGATTGGCACCTTTGGGGAGTGGGGGGGAGCTGGTATCCGAAATTGACAGGTACCCGCTCCCACTTCTGCTGCAATCACCTAGGCGATTGGAAGCGGAAGTTGACCTCCTACCCACCCTCCCCATAGTCTTCTTGGACACGTGACAGGTCCCAGGAGACTACGGGGCCATTCAGGAAGCACAGCACTTCACGCACATGTGCAGTGGGCACCTGGCTGTGAAGCTGCAAACTGTCACAGCCGGCTGCCCACACTGAACATGCCAGCGCCTGGAACACCAGACAGCTGGTGAAACTGGCTGCGGGGAGGACATCGCGGGATCATGGGACAGGTGAGCGGCTGTTTTTTTTAAAAGTCAACAGCTACAGTTTTTGCAGCGGCTGACTTTTTTTGACAGTGTGAGTGGAATGCCACTTAAAGGTGTCATTAAAAATGACGCTAATCTTCAAAAATCACCCATACAAACCCTAGGCAATGGTGTGGTAACCAGTTTTATTTTTTCAGCTTCCTTGTACTGTCCCGCACACACTCCCGAAGCTCTCCTGTTCCCCCTCACTTCTGTTTTTGAAAAAACAGAATGGGTGTAGTTGCCATCACGTGCACTGTTCTTTGCTATCCCCATACTGCAAAGCACTGTCTAATCTTACTGCACATAAGCCTGATATCTAACTACCAATGCCAGGTAGGATCAGAGGGAGAAAAGTGATGCTATGTGCAGATGCCGAGTGCATCTGCACATATGTTTGTAGTCCATCTTGGGAGCGGATTTGACATGGTGTGTATACAGTGGGACCATGAAGAACAAACACAACGACCCTCCAACAAGAAGGCCGATCACAGCAGCCAAACAAGAAGAATTTGAAGATCTGGAAAAGGTTAGCAAAGGAGGTACATTTTTGAAGAACACATTTATTTCATGTACTTATATAGTGCCATCAATTTACGTAGCGCTTTACATTTATATTGTGTATTCACATCAGTCCCTAATCCTCAAGGGGCGTACAATCTAAGGTATATACAATACATAATTAAGTAAGCTCCAAGGAGCAGGGCCCTCCTAACCCTCTTGTATTGTTGCTGTATTGTCTCCCTTTATATTGTAAAGCGCTGAGCAAACTGTTGGCACTATATAACTAGTGTATAATAATAAATATATATTTCAAATTTGATTGGGGGGGTCATTTTAAAGAAATGTAAGTTTACAAAAAGTAAGCCAATTTTGACAGTACTCATATGCCAATGTGAACAGTTCTATGTTCCAGACTCTAAAAAGGTTCATTGTGTAGAGCAGATGGTTGTATATACTAACCAATTAAAGAATAACATATGCAAATAAAAAGTCAAGAATGAGCAAAACTATCATTTAAAGCGTTACAGACTGGGAGGGATTGGCTTGGTACTTGTCAGGTTTTAACGCACATGCCAATTCTGGTTATAAAAGTTCACAAGACATGACTAAATATTCCTGGCAAAGGGCAGCCATTGTCAGCCAAGCTGTGTGTACTAAAGTTTTATTTAGCAGCCAAACCCAGAATTACAACACATACAGGCCATAGAGGTGCTTTCACCTGTCCAGCATGAGGATGTTGTAGTAACTGTATACTGTTCATAATAATGTGTCCTCAGTCTCTGGTCATCCCCTGTACTGTGTCCGCAGTCTCTGGTCATCTCCTGTACTGTGTCCGCAGTCTCTGGTCATCTCCTGTACTGTTTCCGCAGTCTCTGGTCATCTCCTGTACTGTGTCCGCAGTCTCTGGTCATCTCCTGTACTGTGTCCGCAGTCTCTGGTCATCTCCTGTACTGTGTCCGCAGTCTCTGGTCATCTCCTGTACTGTGTCCGCAGTCTCTGGTCATCTCCTGTACTGTGTCCGCAGTCTCTGGTCATCTCCTGTACTGTGTCCGCAGTCTCTGGTCATCTCCTGTACTGTGTCTGCAGTCCTTTGGTTCAGAATATTTTTTTTACCGTTTTCCTCTCTAAAACCTAGGTGTGTCTTATGGTCAGGTGCGTCTTATGGTCAGGTGCGTCTTATGGTCAGGTGCGTCTTATGGAGCGAAAAATACGGCACTTTGCTCATCTCCTCGAGCCTCTTTCAGCCACTTGCTGTCTACATGCACTCACTCCAGTGTCCGAAGCATATAAACTCAAGGGGCAGGTTTCCTGACAATGGAGACCATGCCTCTACATTGTGTATTGAGACTGCCTCTTGAACTCTCCATAAAAGGCATGTGTGACAATGCTGGAGCACAATTATGAGACAGTGGTCACCTCATAACATGAAGTACCTGAACAAAGACCCTAACAGAAATAATTATATTAATGAAGCTGTTGATCTAAAAAGCCTGAACATTTCAAAATGAAATTAACACTAAGAGTTATGAGATTTCAGTGATTGGGTTTACATCCAAGTCAAACAACACTACTGATACTCAAGATGTAAAAAAAGATGTACTATATATGTCTGGATAATGTGTTCCTTTTCAGCAGGGTGTACTGAAAACGATCTAGCCTATTTTGTTTTGCAATAATGGTGCAGTTTCACATTATTTGTAATTCCCTTTAAAATAATATGTGAATTGGTATAAAAATTAACAGACCAATACCATCCTGTCCCATTGAATTCATGTTCTAGAGCATGGTGTCATGACTTCCACATACGTGGCCTCTTCTGTATCTGCTTTACTGTATAGAGTGGTTTTCTAAGCGAATATATAAAAGTTTTTCATTTTGTCACATCACAATGTACACTTTATGTTTTTGCCCCAAAGGCATTGGAATTATTCTGAAATCAGCAAAGTCACCAGAATGGAGGTGTAAATATTTCAGGAACTGCCTGCGGACATAGTAAAAGGAAGATGAGCCATTACATAAATTGTCCCAGTACTGTCAGCTAGTTTTTTTGCTGCACCTCCATATTCCAGAGGAGTCTAAACTAAACTAGTATGGCAGGATACCATGCCTCATTATGGTCCAGTGAAAGTTTACCTACCGGTATATGTTAAATGCTCAATATTGTGCTTTAGAAAACTAATGAATTAATGGGTGAATGTTGGAAAGTGGGAATTTTATCTGGAGCCTGAGAAGAGCTGACAGTAAAAATGCAGAAGCTGCATTTTAATGTGTTTGGGAATATATGTATAGAATCATAGGCAATTGGGAAACGAGGCCCGAGCTAGGAAAAAGCCTAGATCAGCAATTCTGCTAGAGATTGTGCTGTCCTCTGCACTGCTGCATTATTAGACACCTCTGCTCATACAGAACTCTCTTCTGTCAATGTAAGAAAGGATTCTGTCTTTCAGACATTTATTTAAGCAGACGCTAGAACTTGACTTGCGATGAAGACTTGTTTTAGTGTAGCTGTGATTTATTTAGTTGGAGTAACAGAAATAGTAAATCAAGTGGTAGAATTTGTTTAGATATTGATGTATCTTTTGTATGTACAGTGGCTTGGGGGGGAAAAAAAAAAAAAAAAAAGTATTTATACCCCTTCCTTGAAATTTTCCACATTTTGTCTTGTTACAACCAAAAACATAAAATGTATTTTATTGTGGCTTTATGTGATAGACCAAAACAAAGTGGCACATAACTGTGAAGTGGAAAGAAAGTGATAAATGGTTGTCAAACTTTTTTACAAATAAATATCTGAAAAAAGTGTAGCATACATTTGTATTCAGCCCCCTTTACTCTGATACCCCTAACTAAAATATAGTGGAACCAACTGCCTTCAGAAGTCTCTTAATTAGTAAATAGGAGTCCACCTGTGTGTAATTTAATTTTAGTATAAATACAGCTGTTCTCTGATGTGTTCCTTGGCCTTCATGATGCTGTTTGTTCACTAATGTTCTCTAACAAACCTTTCAGACAGGTCAGGGATGAAGTTGCAGAGAAGTTTAAAGCAGGCTTTGGTTATAAAAAATATCTCAAGCTTTGAACATCTCACGGAGCACTGTTCAAACTAAACAATGTATATCACCCTGAACAAACCATCCCACCGTGAAACATGGTGGTGGCAGCATCATGTTGTGGAGATGCTTTTCTTCAGCATGGACAGGGAAGCTGGTCAGAGTTGATGGGAAGATGGATGGAGACAAATACAGGCCAATCTTAGAAGAAAACCTGTTAGAGCATGCAAAAGACGTGAGACTGGGGTGGAGGTTCACCTTCCAGCAGGACAACGACCCTAAACATACAGCCAGAGCTACAAAGGAATGTTTTAGATCAAAGCATATTCATGTGTTAGAATGGCCCAGTCAAAGTCCAGGCCTAAATTCAATTGAGAATCTGTGGCAAGACTTGAAAATTGCTGTTCACAGACGCTCTCCATCCAATCTGACTGAGCTTGAGCTATTTTGCAAAGAAGAATGGGCATAAATTTTACTGTAGATGTGCAAAGCTGGTAGAGACATCCCCAAAAAGACTTGCAGCCACTAGATTTTAGTTAGGGATATCAGAGTAAAGGGGTCTAAATACAAATGCACACCACACTTTTCAGATATTTGTAAAAAATTTTGAAAACCATTTATCATTTTCCTTCCACTTCACAATTGTGTGCCACTTCTTGTTGTTCTAGAACATGAAATCCAAAAATATATTAAAATTTTTTGGTTATAATATGAGAAAAAAAAAAAAAAGGAAAATCTAACACTTCCCATAGAACATTATTTTATCAGAAGTATATTTTGCTGAAAAATACAAAAATATGACCTGAACAATGCACCTTTTTCCCATCATGAGTCACTAAAATCTCATTTAAGCTTTGATTTGTAATTTTCAATCATTAAAATATTGGTGATCCTGTCATGAAGGTTCTTGTTCATGCACTTCATGTATGACGGTAACAATGCTTTGTTCCTTTGCCATCATGTCACGTGGTTCAGTGGAAACCAATTCACGTGACAACGCTTGATGAGCAACCATTGGCCACTGTTATCAGGAAGCAGACTTTGAGGAATAACATGCAGCTCCTACTGCAGGAATAAGCGCATGCAGGAGATTAGCAACACTGAAATTAAGCAAAGGGGAAAAAGGTGAAAAACTAAATTTTTTAAAGAAAGGAAATGCCCGTTAAACACAGCTTTTAGCAAACTGAACAATCAGCCAGTTAGGGTTTGGAGCTACTTTAATATCCCCAGTCTAAATGTGAACTTGTGTAAAAATGCTTCATTGTTGATCTCTTTCAGATTTAATAGATCCATCAAGCGTACAGTTTTGCTCAAAATAAAAGTAATAGCGGTCTTGATTTTAAATTCTACTTTCTAGCTCCATGGTCGCCACCTCCCACGCCCGACTGCAGGACTTCTCCAGGACTAACCCATACTCTGGAACTCACTACCCCAATCCATCAGACTGTCACCTACCCTCCTCACCTTTAGGCACACCCTGAAAACCCATTCTTCAGGGAAGCCTACCCCACCCTCACCTAACTGCCGATCTCCTCCACTCCTCCTACCACTCCATCCCCCACAGCCACTTCCTCCTGTACCACCATCCCCTCCCTCCTAGATTGTAAGCTCGAAAGGGCAGGGCCCTCGAACCCCTCGTGTATTGTTTTGTTACTGTATGGTCTCATGTACTGTCCCCCCACTCTAATGTACAGCGCTGAGCAAACCTTTTGGCGCTATATAAATACTGCATAATAATAATAATAATAATAATAATAAAATTGTTCAAAAGAAGAAAAAGAAAAAAAAAAAAAAAAGGTAAAAATGGAGCTGGATTGTTGATAACCAGAAACACATAAGGCCTTATGCACATGGCCGTACATGCAGAACCTGCATAATGGTATTCCTGGGACCCATTGCTGCAGCATATTGCCCATGGAGGAGGCTGCTGTATGTGGTTGTGCGTTGAGGGTTGTGTACAGCGCCTGCATACACACTGGCATATGCTCTGAACATAGATAGCATATAGTGGTTTTATTCCCTCAACACACTATCCAAATTTACAGTTTTGCTTTTATTTCCACTTTAAAAGCGATATCAAAAGGCTCAGTTTTATAAATTTAAAACAACACATCATACTTACCTGCTCTGTGCAATGGTTTTACAGAGAAAACTCGATCCTCCTCTTCTTCGTTAACCAGCCAGCGCCTCTGGCCCTTACCAAGTGCCCCCATAGTAAGCTGCACAGTGAAGTTTTTTTTTTTTTTTACCCTCATGCATAGAATGCTCGAAGGTAAAAAACCTTCAGCCTTTAGAACCACTTTAGTCCTCATGCACACTGGACGTTTTAACAGCCGCTGTTTTGGCTTTTGCCATTTTTTTTTTCTACAGCCAGTAAACTCCCCAGCATGTTATCCTATGTGTACACACACACACACACACACACACACACACACACACACACACACACTTTTAGTCAGGGGCATTTTTTGGCTGGAAACCCCCCTCCCCCCCCCCAGAACTAGTAGGTTTCTAGAGTTTTTAAGCTGTAAAAACAAAAAAACACTGTAAAGCATTGCAAAACACGGTAAACCATGATGAAACATGGCAAACCGGCATTTTTGGACTTTTCTTGAGCAAAAAAAAAAAAATAAAATAATGGGGGGGGGGTCAAAAAGCTAAATAACGCAAAAAATGCGGCTAAAGGCTAATGCAAAAACACTAAAAATCACTGAAAAACTCGTTTTTAAATATGACTTTGCACAGCTAAAGTTACCAGTGTTATTAACCCCTTTACGCCAGCCGTACACAAATGTGCGGCCTCCCGGCGTCTGGGCCTAGACGCCGAGCGGCCGCACATTTGTGTTCAGGTCAGAAAAAAACATATGCGCCCTGCGTGCTCCCAGCACACATGTCCGGTACTCACAGAAAGGTCCTGGTCTACTCTTCGATCGGGACCTTTCCCAATCATGTGACCACGCATCACGGCGGTCACATGATCCCTAAACCCCTCCTGTCTTCTCAAACTTTTAAAGGGCCAGAAGGCGCCTGCAGGAAGGGGTTAAATTGCCCAGTGTGCATTGAGCCTTAAGGTCAGATCCCAGTGCTGTGTCCATACAGCATCCAATAACAAATGTGCCACATTTGACATTAGACAACACAACAAATAATAAAGGGAGACAAATAAAC